TTAACCCACAAAGACATGGAGACATTGTGTGGTGTGAGTGAAGGAGAGACTTATGAAGGGTCTCTTACCATCGAGTCTTTGCTTGATGGTGCCATGGCTCATAGTGACAGAATCCCAAGGAAAATGGGAGGGGAAAGGGGCCACTCTTGAGCATATCCCAGGAAGGCTTAGTTCAGCTAGGGTACTTTTTCTCCACTCTCAATCAAGGATGGGTAAGGAGAAGAGGGGTGTGCACAGAAATAACGTGCATGAGTGTTTTTCTCAGACACACACACATACCTCCCTCTAGCTTTGCATACCTTAAATCCTCTTTGAAGAAGGTAAGATTCAACAAATAAATTAAAGATTGATTAGTTTGCTGTTTCTTTGTGTGAGTCACCCCAGAACTGTCCAGCAAAGTGTGTCAGGATCCATGCACAGCTATAACTGCATGTACCCTATGTGGCTAGTCATGGATTACTGCCAGCAGCTTTTCTCCCTTCTATTCTTTCTCCCTCCTCCTCCCTTCCGTATACATTTTTCATCACATATTATTACCTCCATGCATGGGCAACACGTGCGTGTCTAGCAATATTTCTCTTACTTGCATACTTTTGTGTGGAAAGCCTACAAAGACCCTTCATCATTGTTTCTCTGACATGTACAGACACATTCATGGGTATAAGTGTGAGTGTGGTCGGGTGACAGTGCTAGACAATTTCTGTTGTAGCTGACACACAAGGGGTGTGGGGGGTTGTGTGACAGATGCTGCTAGGTAGCTTCTGTACTGGTGTCTGGCAAGGGTTTAGAGAGATCTGGACTTCAGAGTTGCTGATTAGGGGTGAGTGGGGTGGAACTGATGGTCAAAATCAGACAAGGAAGTTTGGGTCAGGAGCAGCAAGGGAGACAAAATATGGGATTACTAAAGACTTGTATTTTCATCCCCTAAGATATAAGCTTGCTTTATTTGCCCTTTTTCTGAGTGTGTTTTGGTCAGATTTTCACTTCTCTGAGGACGATTCCAGAATACTTTTCATGTCCCTTCTTTTCCTCTCCCTCCCTCTGTTGGGAATGATGAAGTAACAGAAAAGTATAGGTTTAGAGAAAAAAAAATCAATTACAAAGAGTTTATTCTGAAATTTTAAATCAGATGGGGTCTCAATTAAGGCAGATTAGTCATTAAGTGCAAAAGTAATTATACACAGAATGGTTAGGCCTCAACTGCTATTTTGGTGGGCAAGTTTGAAAATAAGTAACCTCTCGTAATTATCTAAATAATTACCCATTGTCAAGGCTTATGAAAATATCAAGATCTATAAAAAGAAAAAATAATCATCATAGGGAAAAATAACTTGAAGATCATAGAACCATTTACTGGAGAAAGAACAAAAAACCAGATTCCTGTTTTTACACACAGCTTTTCAGCAAAGTTATCAAAATCTCTGTTAATCCTTATCAGATCGTTGGGAAAGGAAGACAAGGAGGGAGGGGGAGAAGAGGTGTAGAGAAACTGTGTCTTCTCCGCTTGACAGGTGGAGGAGAGAGGTTCAGAGAATGGAGGAATCACTGAAGTCATGGAAATGGTAAGGAATAGACCCAGTGAATTCGTCAGACCACAGTCCTCTTCACAAAGACCTTCAAGGGCTAAAAAGTATTTTATCCCCAAAGGTGGGAGAAATCAACAATACTGGTGGTCAGACTTTCTTCAAGAGGGCAGATACAGTTTTCTCACAATCCAAGCTGTTCTGGGGAGCCTGACCAAGACCTAGATGGTGGTGACTTCTCTGCTGCCACACTGTAGTTCAACTCTGAGAGAGACAGTTCTTAGGTTCTGAAGAGGTAATGTATATTTGATCCTCAGTGGTTTGTAGAGGTTAAAATTCCTAGAATTAAAATCAGTTTGCACTTTTCTAAAAAGGCTGAAGTAATGTCGTTCTTAGCATACCTGCTAGAGACTAATATATGTAGATAAAGATCTTCACCTCATGGCCCTCTCAAAGGTTGGCTGCTCAGGTGCCCTTGGAACCTGTAAAATTTTTGTTAATTACCACAAATATTTTTCATCAGCTGAATTTTTTTACTTCCTAAACTACATGAGTTTTTTTCAGATTAGTTTCTTGTATTTGGTTCCCACACCTTAGGGACATCACCTCTCCAGAGTAGGGCTATTATGTCAGCTGGTATCTTATATAAAACTTAGATTACATTTTCCAAATAATGATCATTTCCTCCAGGGCAGAGGCTGTCTTGTGTTCATCTTTGTATCACCAGAGAGGGCCTGGAATAATACGTGACACAGAATAGGAGCTCAAGGGTGACCATAATCTTCTGAGTAACTAACTGAAAGTCTAATGCAAATTTTACCTCCAATAAGACACTGCAGCCTACCTAAAACCAAAGTTCGATTCTAATTGGTATTATATCTGATCGACATATTATTATATGACTTACCTTTTTAAAAATAAGAAAATAACTATTAAATGAGTACAGTTTATAGGTGACATATTTCCAGACATAGGGTCCACACAGAATGTAAGTAAAGGGGATTCTTGGTGAAAATATAGGGAGCCACTTTACTGACTTGAGGTCTTTTGTAAGAAGAGAAATTCCTGTACTCTAAGCCACTGTATGGTTTGGATTTGCCATGGGGACTCTGAGCAGAGTGCTAGAAGGAAAGGAATGTCTTTCAGCTTTCAGCTTCAGCCCTACAAAACCACTGAAGATCAAATATACATTACCTCTTTCCTTGCTCCTTAAATCCTGTGAAGTATTTATGCTATCTTGATTATTCTTTTCCTTTACATATACTTTGGAAGAAGGGTACCCCGCCTAGTAAGTAATAGCTTTCCAGTCTTCCTTTGTGGAGCATCTGCACAACCTAATTACAGCTCTTCTGTTAACTAGCTATTCGACCTTAATCTCATGAGGCCTCAGTTATTTAATCTGTAAAACAAGAGGGTTATTTATTCATTTATTCAAACATCTGTTGACTCTGTATTATATTTCAGAGACTAGCAAGGCATTTGAATGACAAGGTTGAATCTGACACAGGACATGCTGACTGTGGGCTTACTATTCAGTGAAGGAGGCTGGAAGATGGTTTGTTAGAGTTCATTGAAGAAAGTAATTTGTTCAGAAGGCTGTGGTCACAGGAGTGGTACCTGGCCTAGACTAGGAGTGGCCAGGAATACTTCTCTGAAGCTGAGCTGGGAGCAGGGGAAA